CATTATCTCCACCTAAATGTGAGCTAAGTAGTCTATTTTTCCCTGCAGAGGAAGCAGTCGCCTTCCAGCCCCTCATGCCAAGGTTTCCTACCTTATCACAAAATGTGTCCAAGTCTCTGTATGCAAAAGAAGGCTGTAAATAATAGCCAGGAGTAGCTCACATGAGATACAGTGACACATGAGGTGATCACAGTGAAGGACGGTAAAAATGAAATGGTGCATTGAGCCGCTCAAAATCTGTGAAGGTTCAGGGAACATGAAATGGAAAATAACTAATCATCCTGAATATAATGCACTCCCAGAAAGGGTGTTTTGTCTCCATTTGGAGCAAACCAGGCGATTTAAGGGAGATTTAAAACTTGTGCATTGCACTTTTTTTATGTATACTGTATGTTACTTCCTTCCAATACACGATCGAAGAATAGGGAGCAAATTCAAGCAGTGAAAGTAACACTCTCACCTTTAGAGGCTAGGTGCTTCAATCTATCATATACCATTGTCATATAGACAGTGATTTGGGACATATGTGCACCTTCTCTTTGTGTCCACATTATTTCAGCTTCTCCCTTTTTTTTACCCTAGTGTGTTTTTTGCTGAATCAGCGTGTTGGCCTCAGCAGCTCAATGACCTGCTGTATTTGCCTTTTTCCAAGAATCAGATGAGAGAGCGAAACATGCTTACGGTACCTCTTTTAAATCACTTTATCGTACACTACTTTGAGAAATGCCAATACAATTGTTGTCAAAGTAATGTTGTTATAAGCTTCTTGGCCTGGAAACAAGAACAAACTAACCCTGGTGGGGAAAAAAATGAAACGTATATCATGTTTTGAAGAATTTGATGTTGCTATTGCTGCTCAGAGGAGGTGAACTTGGGGCCACCTTTTATTCCCCACACTGAGCTGGTGCCAAGGTCAATGCAATAATGGCGATTTTATAATTAATGCCCACAACATTTGGCATACATTTCCTGATGTACTTACTCCTATTTGATGAATTATTCAAATAAATTAGAAATAAATTAATATAATGGTTGAACGTGTGCTGTCCTTTTCGGATCAGCAGTTAGCCATTATGTTTTGAAAATGACATCAATGTCTCGGGGATATCCTACGTCTAATTAAACTGTCTAATAGCAATGATGGACTCAGATAAACACCTTGTATAACATATATACATCTGCTTTATTGGTCAAACAAATCATTGTAAATGTGATGTATGACCGGCTCTTCTGTGTGCTGTATAGCTTTTGGAAGAATTATGGTTTTTATTTTAATTTTTTACTATTCAAATGTACCGTTGCTAAGCAGATTAAATATTTCAGGTTCAGGTCATTGTGGAAAATAAGATAAAATTGTGAGTTGTTGACTCACGATTTTCGAGCAATGGCAAACACATTAGTACTGACAAGGTGGAAGGGGCCAAGTGTTTTTAAAGACAGAATATGGATTTTTTCAAAATAAGTTGTGATGAATCAGTACATTCTGTGAATGGCTTTCATGTCTTAACTATGAGAACATTGCCTGTGTCAGCTAAAAGTGTGGAAGTAGAAGCAGCTTTGTACTCTGGAGGCTTTTATTCAGACACTGAGGGCCTTTATATTTTGCATGAGTGAGTGTTTTCAATCAAACACTAAAAACTCTGCTTTTTAGAGGAACATTTGTATGAACGAGATGTAAACATTTAAAGAGGCCCTATTTTGCTTTTTTTTGTTTTCCTGTTACTGTAGTGTGTTACATAGGTTTTTGTGCATGTCAAGGGTCGGCAAAGTCTAAAATCCCAAAATTCACTCAGGCAGTTTCTCTCCCACACACTCCCCCCCCCCGCCTGAAATGCCTTTATCGGACTATTCTGTTTACTTTTGTTACATGATGACATCACTACGTAACACTCACGCTTCTATTGGCTAGCTTGTGGTGTTAAGCAGACGAATTACCAACAAAGGGTACAAATACAGGCCCCAGGAGGTGCTACCTTGGAGAGGTCCCAATTCACCTCCTGCCCTGCCGTTGTGCCCTTGAGCAAAGCACCAGACAACCCGCCTTCCCCCCTCACTCCCATTGCTCCCCGGGCGCTGTACAATAGCTGCCCACTGCTCCTAGTACTAGACTCCTGGTGCTAGGATGGGTTAAATGCAGAGAACAAATGTCACTGTGTCTATTCTTCTATCTATCATAGACCCTATATATCATTAGGGTCTATAGGTTGTATTATGCGCTAAAAGCTGAATCCAGATTTATTTTCCCTCTCCATTAATTTGACTGAGCTGAGAGGATGAGATCGTAGCAGGGGCGGACTAGACATCTGTAGAATCTGGAGAATCACAGAACGGCCGGTCGTCAAGGGCCGTTGACGGCCGGTTCGGTTCGCTGACGGCACCGCCCTTCATTTTTTATGTTTTTAAACGGCATCATTGAGGTTGCGCGACAGAGGTCCACCGTTTTCCCCGCAGCGAGCAAAATAGGGCCCCTTTAAATGACGTGTTTCCACTTGATTTGCAGTATTTTCACAAAAAAAACCTTAAAACTTCTGTGGTCTAAAGCAAAACAATTCTTCATAACAACTTCTGCCGAGCTAGCAGACCTTGACATTTGTTCAACCCTTCCCCTTTTGAGTCCCTAAAGTCGTATGTCATATTTTAAATACACATTAATATAGAAAGGGTCGGCGATACACTGAGAATTTGAAGGGGTGAAACTTTGGCAGGTTTCTAAATGAGATTATTAGCAGCGAGATCATTAGCATACACAAACATGGAGCCTTATAATAAGGCAGCTGGACCACTCATAGAAGTGTGAGACTGGGTCTGACCTCATTAGTGGGAGCATATGGGAGGTAGACCTGCGTATCAGTGCAGTTATCCAAGTTTCAGTGTGAATTGCCCATCGCATTCTCGACACTACACTATGCTCTGTCTAATGAGTATGCATTACCAAAAAATGGCTGGAAGTGGATCTTTTTGGCTCATCTACTCTGTTTAGCACCTCTCTAATCTGCAGTAATAGCCTAGGGACGCAACGCTTTTTGCAACATAATGTCTTGATTCAGTATGTTAGAGACTACATCCTATAGTTTGTAATTTAAATGCATGTTTGGGTTCACTGGAGGTAGCTTGAAACACAGTAAAGTAGTTAAAGTAGTAAAGTAGTTATTTATGGGTTTGGAAAAGAAAGTAATTTAACATGATAACGTTCCGTTGCTTTTGGATTTCCTTAATAAAACAAATAACAATAGATATATAGATTATTTATTTACTTTCATTTAGCATATTCAGGTAGTAACCAACGATGATCATGTGAGCATTTACTGCAGTTTAAAAAAGCTGAAATAAAATCTGAGTTGACAGAAAAATGCTCCGTTTTAGTTTAAAGGTGACCTATCATGCAAATTGCACTTTTGTACGTCTTTTATACATGAATATGTGTCCCCGGTGTTCCAGGGAACTCACCAAGTGTCAGAAAACACAAGCCTCTCTAAGCCTCTCTATTTTCCTCCATACCCAAATCTCTTAAAAAGGGGCTGCAACGGATCTGATACAGACTGATCCAGATTTGAACACTTCTATGACGTCACAGAAGTGGCGCTACGGCTATTGGGCCAACTCCACCAATCAGGAGGAGACAGCCACGGACATTGCCGTTCGAAAGCGCTGGAGACGATGTAGTACATATGCCAGGCCTGTAGTGTAGATGGTGCTGTTCTCACAGAATCAGCCCATGCAAAGACAGTGTTGAATTGAGCGAAATGAGGAAGGGCTAAAATGCATGATCTTTCGGTATTTTGAAAAATAAAAAGTATAAATATGCCTTATATAGGTATGGTCCTACACTATATTATTCAAATATAGCATGATAGGTCCACTTTAAGAACAGTGAAAGCAGTGGTTCTGAAGGCAAGTTTTTTATTTATTTAAAAACAGACAAAATAGACTAATATTATAAA